TGTGTGTGTGTGTGTGTGTGTGTGTGTGTGTGTGTGTGTGTGTGTGTCTCTGTGTAAAGGCTGGATTAGTGTCAGGTTAAAGTTCTGCAGACGGTTCCATCAGAACTTTTCTGTTCGGATCAGATCCTGACATCAAACATCACTTCCTGCTCCGCCCACTTCCAGGTGAGACCACCTGAGTGTGTCTGCAGGAACAGGTCAAAGCACAAAAGGTTTGAACTCTTCAGCTGCTGGTTCAACCCCCACATGGATGCTAGTTAGAGCTAGCTAGCATGCTAAAGAAAGCTAAAGCAGCTAAAGAAGGCGTGTGACATGGTGGTCCACAGGGACCTGCAGGTCCAGTCTGGTGGTCTTCAGTTTGATTTACTAACAAACACTTGGTTTTGTTGTTTTCTACAGAAGTGGGCGGGGCTTAGCTCTGCTGGTCCAAACTGGTCCAAACTGGTCYGGAACATTCAGCTGCCATCTGTCAGAGTAAAACCTAAATCTGGACCAACCTGGTGTTAGAACCTTCAGAACCACATGGTTCTGTACCGGATCAGTTAACAAAACTAGAACTCTGAAGGTTCTGGGGCAGGGACATGAAACCCTCCTCTGGGTTCTACAGAACTGAGTCCTGGTTCTGAAGACCCCCAGAGAMCCCCTGTGGTTCTGGTTTAAGACAAAGTGTCTCCAGACTCCTTCAGTCCTGCTCCTGGTCCTCCTGTCCTCACTTGGACTGGACCCCCAGGCCGATCTTCAGGTACTCGTAGACCACGTAGCTGATGCTGACGGAGGGGATGACCTTCATGAAGTTGGGGGCCAGTCCTCGGTACAGTCCCATGGGCCCCTCGGTCCGGACRATGTGCCTGAAGAGGCCCGACATGCTCATCTGAGGTCCTCCTTCCAGAGACGCTGAGGACAGAGGACACAGCTGTGAGGGGCCGAGCCTGGACTGAAACATGGACCTGATCTGCTCCCAGACCTACCCTGAGCCTGCATCCGGGTCCGGACCAGAGCCAGCGGGTAACTGGCCAGCTGGCCGCAGGTGCTGGAGGTGGTCCCGCAGGCCAGCAGCACAAAGACCCCCGGGTCGGCGCTGTCTGTGGCGTAACGCTGCAGCCACGAGTTCTTCAAGGTCTGAGGGTCCGCGGGACAGAAACCGGGTCAGACACAACACAGACAGGGACAGAAGGGACATGGTGTGACTCCGCCCACCTCATAGACCGCCAGGTCGATGCCGGCGTACGGGATGATGCCCAGCATGTTGGGGACGTAGCCTTTGTAGAACGCAGCCACGCCCTCCTTCTGGAAGATGTGTCTGGCACAGTCCACGATCCCAGAGTACTGACCCGTCCTCCTCAGGGCCAGGCGGGTCTTCAGAACCTGACAGGACAGGAAGTGATGTCACATTGAACCTGACAGGACAGGAAGTGATGTCACATTGAACCTGACAGGACAGGAAGTGATGTCACATTGAACCTAACAGGACAGGAAGTGATGTCACATTGAACCTGACAGGAAGAGTTCAAACGTTAGTCCAACAACCAATGACAAGTCAGATTGTTTCATTTAAACAGGGGGCGTGGCCTTATGCAGCTGGAACTAGAACCAGAACCAGAACCAGAACCAGCAGCTCAGCTGTGGATTCTGGGAAAGTTCTGCTCCTGGTTTTTATTTGTTGAACTGAACCCAGAGTTTCCTGTTTGGACCTGAGCTGCAGATTTATTGACAGGTCAAAAAAAACGTGACCCCGCCCCCTGAGACCCTCCCCTGTGACTCCTCCCCCTGAGAC